CTTTCTAGCTGCGTGGGCGTGGGGGGCTGTAGGAGGAATTCCTCATGCTATGAGGGACGCCAAAAATTCTAGTTTTACGGTGGTGTGGGTGGGAGGAGTATCTCTATGTAGGGGAGACTTAGCCAAATTCTCTAGGTTACAGGGTAAAGGTGGGAATATTCCTGCTGTGAGGGCTTAGCCGAATATTGGGCTGAGAATAGCCTTAGGATCTTTGACAGAAACGAAGTGGACGATGTGGTCGAGGCTGGTGACGTGTCGAAGTCCAGTCAGCAGCATGCAATACTGGAACTTCGCCTTTGTCAGCTTCTTGATCAGATAATCGGCTGCCATTTCAGTAGTAGGGCAGTAGGCTAGCTGGAGTCTTCGTTGTTCGATCTCGTCCATTACGAAGAAATATCCAAGTGAGATGTGCTTCGTCCTATTTGCGAAACTGCTTTTGCTAGCGATCTTGATTGCTGATTGGTTGTCGCAGAAGAGGGAGAGGCTCAATAACTTGGCGATCTTCGCTTCTTTGGGTAGCTCGCACAGGGCGATATATTCGGCTTCAGCAGATGAGATGGCGATGATTCCTTGCTTCCCCGAGTGCCAGGAGATAGTGCGTATAGGCTCCAAGCGATTGACGAAGCCAGTACGGGAGCGCCGGTTATCATTGTCACCAGCGTGATCAGCGTCGACATAACCGATTAGTTCGGTCTTGGTAGTGGAGTGCTTATGGTAGGTGAGACCGATCGTCAGAGTAGAGATGAAGCAGAGTAGCGCGCCAACGAGTTCTGTCGGATTCCCCCCATCAGGGTGCTTAAGTCACATAGCAAGTTGACTAGCAGCGTAGGAGAGTTCTGGGCGGCAGGTTAGAGCTGCGAACAGTAGACAACCAAGCTTCTACTGATACTCGTGAATGCCGGAGGGTGCAAGGAGAGTGGTGGGACGAAGGCGCCGGGGCCGCGTAGAGATACGGCGTCAAGATGGTGTGAGGAGAAAGGTTGACGTGGGCGACAATTTTTTCCGTGTAGTTCGATGCCGAGAGGTGAATAGCATTGGGGCCATCGATTATGTTGAGACCAAGGTATTGAGTCATGGTAGTGGGGTCGGTGAGGTTGAGTTGCAGCTGCAGCTCCCCTTTTAACCAGTCGAGAATCGATGTGGCAGAGCCGATGTGAAGGAGATCTTCGACGTAGATAATCAGGAGCACGTAGTTACCGTTGTGGGAGAGGTGGTACATCCCTTGGTTGTATGGGAGTTGGGCGAAGCCCATGTCGGTGAGGATGCAGTGGAGATACTGCTGCCACAGCCGCGAGGCCTTCGTGATCTCATAAAGGGATTTGATGAGCTGGTAGACGAGGGTGGGGTCATTGATGTAGGCGTGCGGCTGTTCGACAAAAATAACGACGTCGACAGGCGCATGAAGGAGAGCCGTGGCGACATCGATCTGATGCAGGCGGAGTTTGCAAACGGCGGCGACCGCGAGCTGAATTCGCCGGGAGGTGTGGCGGCTAACCGGGGCGAATGTCTCGGTGTAGTCTCGACCATGCTGTTGGTCGAAGCCGCGCACCACCTAGCGAGCCTTGAAACGGTCGATGTTCTTTTTCACTCAGAAAACCCATTTTCCCGAGAGGACTGTCTTCAATGTTTGTTAGAACTTCAGTATTGCGTAGATAGAGTGCTTGTGAGCACAGCGGAAGTCTGAATTGAACTCTTGTACTAGTATGTGAGAATAAGTCATTGCAAATTTTGCTCGATGGTTGGGTTCACAATTCCTTTTGCCCTTTAAAACTCCCTGAGAAAAGCCAGATGACTTGTGGTGTGACGTCAACCTCGACTACCGAGGTTCGGGAGCCCTACTTCAGACGTCCCGGAACTCGGCGCCATTGCGTGTCCCTCTTTTCCCATAGGTGACCTCCCAGTTGTGCTACTTTGGACACCCTCTTACAAACTTACCCATTCCTACCATTGTAATAGAATACACCATAGAAAGTAATAGCTCAAATAGCATATGCATCGTCCTGAAGGTTGAAAGAAAAAAACCTAAGCAGCAAACCTGATGATGTCTGTTCCTAAGTAGCGCATTACCTCATATAGAGGACGTGTGCAACCGAAGACCCGAGTTACCACATATAGAGGACGCGAGCGGGTAGCAACAGCCACCGGATTCAACAAATGAACACTCCAGCGAAGGTTGCAGTGAAATGTTGTGACATGAGGTTACAGAAAGAGGGTTTACAAAGTGGTTTCTTAAATAGGTTCACAATTGATATAATATGTAGGTGCTTATTGTAAAGACAAAGTTATTGGGTTGAAGATAACAGCAGTAGTACTTCAATAGAGTAACAGTGGTCTTGCACTTGAGTCATAGAAGCATCTTTGCTGGAATAATCGACTTGTTGTGATATCGGAAGTCTGAATGAACGTGTAGAGAATAGTTGTTGAAGATCAGAATGTGGACTAGGAATAGAGACAAGAATATGTAAGATAGCTACAGTGACAGAAACAATTCTCATGATGTTTTGCATTAACGAGGGTATTTGGGCATTCCGACCACTGTACATAAGTCTTAATGTTTCATGGTGGTACGCTTTGGGAGTGGCACATAGTGGATGTGTTCATAGTGCTATAATCCATAATAGTACACTGGATCTAACTTATTGTCAAAAGATATCCAAAGAGTCCATCTGGACAATTGTTTCCCAGGACAAAGCGTAAACTTTCGAACAGCGTTTCTAGTACCTATTCCACCGACCCTTGGCCTTGATCACCACACGCACCTGCCTAGGCATGTTATCTACGAGGTTAGTGCAAACTGTTGCGAAGGGATCTTCTCACACTCTTCTTGGACCCACCCTTTTGCATGAAGGGGTGAGCACTAGGAAAATCGCGAAGGATTTGAGCGTATGCAAGAGTATTGTGCACGATTTCAGATTGAATGTGAGATCTTAGACTAGCCACGCTGAGGTGTGTCTTTTCATGGGTCATCTTTGTCGTACCGTTGTAGGGTAAAATTACGAACAGAGTGGCGAAAACTAGCGCATCTGACGCGAAAACTTATGGTAACATAGCACGGTCGACTGTGCACCGTTTCACTATTAGAATCACGTTAAAATCCACAGGTCTCATCACGGTGCAGCAGTCGAAGAAGCCCTGGCTGGTGGGGGAATATATCGGGGTTGAGGTCTGGTGAGGAAGAGGGTTACTCCAGTGCTACATACTCATGCTCTCCAAGCCATTCCAAGCCTAGGCGGGTCAAATGGCTTGGAATGGCTTGGAGAGCATGAGTATGTTGCGCTGGAGTGACCCTTTTTCTCACCATACCTCACCTCAAGTATTCATTTCGAGCAGTCGTGAATTCTTCAACTGCTGCACTGTGATGAGGCCTGCGGATCCTAGCGTGATTCTAATAGTGCAAGGGTGTACAATCAACCGTGCTACGTCACCCTCAGTTTCACGACGTATACGCTAGTTTTCCCGGATCTGTTTGTGGTTTTACCCTACTGTGGTACAATGGAGACGACCCATGAAAAGACGCGACCAATCGGCTAATGGCATCTTTGGTCACACTTCAGCATGGCAAGACTAAGAGATCACATTCAATCAGAAAGCATGCACATTTCTTTTGCATACACAAAAATCCTTCGCGATTTTCCTAGTGCTCACCCCCTTATGCAAAAGTGTGGGTCCAGGAAGAATGCAAGAAGCTCCCTGCAAAGGTGTGCCAGACCTCGTAGATAACATGCCTAGGAGGGTGCGAGTGGTGATCAAGGCTAAGGGTCGGTGGACTAGGTACTAGGAACGCTGTTCGAAAGTTTACGCTTTGTCCTGGGAAACAATTGTCCATATGTACTCTTTGGATATCTTTTGGCACTAATTTAGATCCAGTGTACTATTATGGATTATAGTACTATGAACACATTCACTATGTGCCCCTCCCAAAGCGTGCCACCATTAAATATTAAGACTTTATATACAGTGGTCGGAATGCCCTAAAACCCTAGTTAGTGCAAAACATCCGGACAATTGTTTCCCTCACTGTAGTTCTTGCAGAATGTACATGTTCTCTTGGTAAGAGGTATGTGTTGGTGCAACCCTATGGCTTGCACTCGGCTTGTCGTCCTTGTTTGTGTGTGTGCATGCATGGCATGGAATGAATTGTGAGTCTATGCCATTGCTATCTAGTGCTTGTGTGTGTGTTTGAATGGTGTATCACAATGTGGTTTGTGTCGGTCAAGACATTAGCGAGTTTTTACAACTCGCATGTTAAGTCGTCGTTTGCGTGTCGCATGTGTTTTTTCTATTTTGTCGAGTGTGAAGTGTCCATCGTGTCGCAGGTGTGTGCAGCAAGCCCCCATCAACTCAAGAAGAATTTATCTTGCAGAACCAAGACCAAGAGCTCAAGATTTCAAGCCCAAGGGACACGGATAAATATTAAATAGTGAAAATTGTAACGCTACTTCGTGTAGTGTTACATTTCACTTGGTGTAGCCCCTTGGAGGGTTGGTTTCGAGACTCTTCATGGTTGGGGACTCTATGGTGGTGTACCACCAACCTGGACCTCGGCTCTTGGGGTATGTAGAGGCTGGGAACCATCTCCCTCTCGAACTCTTCTTGCTAAGTTTGTACTTCCAAGACTATAGTGGCTGCTATACCTCCTGCCAGTCAAACCGCCATAGCGTCGTCAAATCTTCATGGAATTTCATGATTCAACTTGCTCCTGATAGACGACAGCAACGCGCTTCAGATCCAATTTATAGATGACCATTTGATTCAGCGACCAGATCGTTATCAATATTTGAAGCCGTCTGACGAAAATCCGACTGTGCTCTCTATCTCTTATTATAGGCACATCTAAGCCTATTGTGAATACAACAAGTGGTATCAGAACCCTTTGGAGCTGTCTCGACCATGCCTAGAGCTGAGGAAGGGGGTGGCAGAGGTGCTGGAGGCAGAGAAGACGCCCAAGCACAAGGTCAACACCAAGATCCACCCGTTGCTCCGGTGCAACCTAGCCTTGGACCCTCTAGGGATGAGCCTAGAGTGTTTGGCGTTGACAAGTTCAACGGTGACAACTTTGCTGAGTGGTCCTTCAAGATGGAGAACATCTTTGACCACTATGATCTGCTGGAGGTGATGGAAGGAATGGAGAAGCGCCCCGAGAACGACCCAGAGAAGAGCCCGTGGGTGCGGAAGAGCGCACAAGGCTACCTTCTACTTGGGCAAGCGTTGGGGAGCAGCCAAATCCGTCACATCAAGCCTTTTCAGCGTGAACCAGCAAAGGGACCAAAGGCATGGGCTGCTCTCAAGGGTGTACACGCTCCTGCAACAGCGGCGGTGGCTTTGGTTTTGGAGCGGCAAATGGCAGCACTTCGAATTGACGAAGGCGAACCGGTGGAGGAAGGAGTGCAGAAATTCTTCGACTTGTTGACACGGCTCGAAGGAGCTGACCTGAACTACAGTGACCTTCAAAAGAAGACCAAGCTGCTGGCCTTACTTCCGGACTCATGGTCCTCGCTCATCATCAACCTAAATCGAGATCTGCCCCGTCTCTCACTCGAAGATGTGAAGCGGGAAATCTTACAAGAAGATTTCCGCCGTCGCGAATTGGCGGGTCCCGATGGTGCCGGAGTTGCAAGCATGGGCCGTGGGCACGGCCGTGGAAGGGGCAGAGGGCGAGGAGGAAGATTTGGCAGCAGTAACTTCAATGGAGGCCGTGGTAATGGAGGATATGGCAGCAACAACAACAACAATGGCTACGGGCGTGGGCGCGGTCGATTTGATGGCGAATGCCACTTTTGCCACAAGACCGGCCACATGTGGAGAGATTGCTTCAGATTGCCTGATGAATGGACCCCTTCTCAAGGCCAAGAGGGCAGAGGAGCAAGGGGAGGAAGAGGCAGAGGTCGTGGAGGCCGTGGTGGTCGTGGAAGCGAAGCGGCAAGCATGAAAGGTGGAGACTACGACAAGGACTCGAGTGAAGATCGATACCCGGGCTAATTCTTCTTTGTCTCCACGCAAGCGGCAGCTGCAGCAGGAGGTGTGGAAGGCTTTGAGGAGCCAGCTACTATGGGAAAGGTCACCCTTCACTCTCTGGACTTTTGGGTGATCGATAGCGGCGCCACCTACAGCATGACACCTCGTGCGGACTTGCTCACCGAACTCGAACCGTCGCCGGTCAAGCATGTTACATCGGCTTTGGGGCAGCGAGCAGAGGTGAAAGGCATGGGCAAGGCCATGTTCAAGGGTGCTGATGGGAAGATGGTGGGCCTCAAGAACGTGCTTTTGGTGCCCAACCTAACAGCCAACCTGATTTCCGTTCGGCGTTTGCAAAAGGCCGGCATGGACACATCTTCCAAGGGATCCAAAACCTATACCGCAAGGCTTGGTGAGCGGAAGCTTTGGGACCTTCATGAGGACAGGGACATCTACAATGAGATGTGGCAAATCCCAGTGGTCCCCATGCCTAAAGAGAGGCAAGTGGCAGCAAGCGTCAGCACCAAGCGTGAAGCGGTTGGTGGCGGTGATCACGGAAAGCAAAGTGACACCAAGAGTGACTCGAAGGAGTGCAACCTTGGAGAGACCAGCAAGGCGTGTGAACCCAAGGAGAATGGTGCAGCAGCCAAAGGTGGTGGAAATGAGGAGGAGAAGGCTAAGATCAACAAAGCAGCAGCGGCGAAGGAGAAAGGAGAGAGCTTGTGGGGCACAATTGCGAGTGCCGCTTTCTCCAACCCGACTTCTGCTACGGGAGAGTGTGATTGGCTGACCTTGCATCGGCGAATGGGGCATGTGGCATTGCCCATTTTGCAGCAGATTGTTAAGCAAGAGATGGTCAGTGGGATACGTGTCAAGGGGGAGCCCAATGAGGTGCTTGGCTGTCCAACATGCATGCAAGCCAAGTTCACCCGCTACCCGTTCCATAGCTCAGAGACAACGGCGAAGGCACCACTTGATGAGGTGGTGATGGATGTGGTGGGCCCCTTGAAGCTTGGAGCTGCTGGAGCAGAGTACTTCCTCACCATTGTGGACGTCTACACTCGCATGACTTGGGTGTATGTACTGCCCAAGAAGAGTGACGTAGCTGAAACGGTGAAGACCGATTGGTTGCCGATGGTGGAGCGGCAACAAGACCGACTTGTGAAGGCGATTCGCACTGACCGTGGGGGAGAGTTCCTGAGCAAGGATTTCTCAACTTGGCTGAAGAATCAGGGCATAAGGCACTCTCTTACCATGCCCTACTCTCCTGCAATGAACGGCATCGCCGAGCGTGCGAATCGGACACTCACGGAGACGGCTCGGGGACTTCTCATTGAAGCCGGTCTACCTAATTACTTTTGACCGGATGCGGTGCGGCATGCTTGTGTGGCCAAGAACAGAGCCTTGACTCATGTGGGAGAAGACAAATGGGTGCCCTATGTGGAGTGGATTGGAAGGAAGCCGAAGGTGGATATGCTTCGGGTGTTCGGGTGCATGTGCATGGCACTTGTGCCTAAGAAACTTCGGCACAACAAGCTTGATGCCAAGGCAACATGGGCCGTGCACCTGGGCATGGCTCAAAACAGCAAAGGATGGCTTTTTTGGTTCCCATTTACCAAGAAGTTCCTGGTGAGCAGAGATTGCAAGTTCATGGAGAACTTATGATACAAGGAGTGGAAGGCGGAGAACCAAGCGAAGATTGGTGTGCGGCTTGGAGAGGTGAAGAGTACCGGCTTGGAGCATGTGGAGCTGCCCTTGGAGCTGAGTAGCAGCAGCACTATCACAAGGCAATCTCCTCAAATGAATGGGGGAGAAGAGGAGGAGGAGGTGCAGCAAGGTGATGAGCGTGCACCGTCACTTCCGCCTCGTGCTACAAGTGCTCGAGGGAACCGACCAGATTTGCAGCAACGCCATGAGAGCATCCAAGTCCCTGCAGTAGAGGAGGAAGGAAAGGGGAGAAGGAAGACTCATCCCCCCAATAGGTTGAGCTATGAACGGCTTGGAGGACCAGCCAACTCAACCTTGACCGGTTCGGCCCTCATGCTAGGCGATGATGCGGAAGATGAAAGCGAGGAGTGCGCTTTTGCCTTCTTCTCTCCGGTGGAGATACCGGGGGAGCCTACAAATCCCAAGGAGGCTTGGGAGGGCCCCAATGGGAAGGAGTGGAAGAAGGCCTCAGATGAAGAAATGGGGAGCATCATCGAGAACGACACGTTTGACTTGGTGAACCTACCTCCGGGGCGTAAGGCGATTTCTTCCAAGTGGCTCTTCAAGCGCAAGACCGACGCCGACGGCAACATTGAGCGCTACAAGAGCAGACTTGTAGCCAAGGGGTATCAGCAGCAAGAGAAGAAGGACTTCAATGAAGTGTATGCTCCTGTGGTGAAGGGTACAACCCTTCGAACTCTCTTCGCCGCGGCGGCCATCAAAGGATGGGTGGTGAAGCAAATGGACATTGTAACGGCCTTTCTTAACGGCGTTTTGGAGGAAGAGACCTACATGGAGCAGCCAGAGGGGTACAATGATGGGAGTGGCAGAGTGTGGAAGCTGAAGAAAGCACTCTATGGCCTCAAGCAAGCCCCTAGGCAATGGTACATCAAGCTGCGGGAAGTCTTGGAGGCGATCGGCTTCACTCCCTCAACGGCCGATCAATCCTTGTTCATGCTTGGCGAGGGGGAGCAGAGGAGCTTTATGGTGGTTTATGTGGATGACATCCTCATATTCTCACCCTCCTCTGACCTTGTGAAGGAGGTGATGCTGAAGCTTCAAGACAAGTTCAAGTGCAAGACCCTTGGTGACGTCAACTACTACCTTGGGCTTCACATTGAGCGAGATGTGGAGAAGCGGTGGATGCGAGTGCATCAAAAGAAGTACTTGGAGGCCTTGGCTGCAAACTTTGGGAAGAGTGAAGGTCATGTGGCTACTCCTCTTCCCTCAGGGTTCAAGTGTGTGAAAGGACCAGCGGAGGAAAGTGTTGGTGAAGAGGATAGGCGGCGTTTTCACTCCTTGGTGGGCAGCCTCATGTATGCGGCCGTTCACACAAGGCCGGATGCAGCCTTTGCTACCGGGCAGCTGGCTAGGGTTGTCCAATGCCCTAATGAAGAGCAGGTAGCAGCTGGAGAGAGGGTGGCCAAGTACCTTGGCCAAACAGCAACTGTTGGACTGCAATACTTCGCGGCGGCACAAAGGCGTCAAAAGGGTGCGGATGGAGTCGAACCCGGGAGGCTCTTTCTCACCGCCTTCTCTGATGCATCTTGGGCATCAGAACCAGAGGATATGACAAGTGTGGGAGGCTTCATCTGCTGTGTTGGTGGAGGCCCAACAGCTTGGGAGAGCAAGAAGCAAGTGGACCAAGCATTGAGCTCGGTGGAGTCCGAGTACATGGCACTCTTCCGTGCCATAAGGGAGGTTGTGTGGCAGCGGCGTTTGCTAGCTGAATTGGGGGAGGAGCAGCAAGGACCTACCCCACTCTATTGTGATAGCCAGGGTGCTATTGCATTGGCTAAGAATCCGGTTCTTCATGGCCTTACCAAGCACATGAAGGTGAAGTGGCATTGGGTGAGGAGCATGGTAACCTCGGGTGAAGTGGAGTTGCACTACGTGAAGACGACGGCACAGCCTGCTGATATGATGACCAAGAGGCTGGTTGAGCAGCAGCATTGGAAGTGTTGCAAGCTTGCTGGGATGGCTCTGAACTAAGGGGAGCAAATTCTAAGGCCAACAATCCGAGGGGGAGTTTGTTGGTGCAACCCTATGGCTTGCACTCGGCTTGTCGTCCTTGTTTGTGTGTGTGCATGCATGGCATGGAATGAATTGTGAGTCTATGCCATTGCTATCTAGTACTTGTGTGTGTGTTTGAATGGTGTATCACAATGTGGTTTGTGTCGGTCAAGACATTAGCGAGTTTTTACAACTCGCATGTCAAGTCGTCGTTTGCGTGTCGCATGTGTTTTTTCTATTTTGTCGAGTGTGAAGTGTCCATCGTGTCGCAGGTGTGTGCAGCAAGCCCCCATCAACTCAAGAAGAATTTATCTTGCAGAACCAAGACCAAGAGCTCAAGATTTCAAGCCCAAGGGACACGGATAAATATTAAATAGTGAAAATAGTAACGCTACTTCGTGTAGTGTTACATTTCACTTGGTGTAGCCCCTTGGAGGGTTGGTTTCGAGACTCTTCATGGTTGGGGACTCTGTGGTGGTGTACCACCAACCTGGACCTCGGCTCTTGGGGTATGTAGAGGCTGGGAACCATCTCCCTCTCGAACTCTTCTTGCTAAGTTTGTACTTCCAAGACTATAGTGGCTGCTATACCTCCTGCCAGTCAAACCGTCATAGCGTCGTCAAATCTTCATGGAATTTCATGATTCAACTTGCTGCTGATAGACGACAGCAACGCGCTCCAGATCCAATTTAAAGATTTTCGTTTGATTCAGCGACCAGATCGTTATCAATATTTGAAGCCGTCTGACGGAAATCCGACTGTGCTCTCTATCTCTTATTCTAGGCACATCTTAGCCTATTGTGAATATAACAGTATGCGCCCTATTCGTCAGTGTAGATGCAGTGTGACTGTTCGCTTGGCAGAAACGGCCGATCGTTAATGTCGTCAATGGAAGTCTCCAGTTATGATGAGATTCGATATTGCGTACTGTACCGCTTTTGGTTATGCTAGGTACGGATTATAACACAACACTCTCCTTCGTTCCTGAAAGCTCGATGTTGTCACTTCTTGGAGATTCCACAGAGGTCCTTGCAATTTGGAACTTCTGGCGTGTTGGCTTCTTAGTGAGGAAGGCAGCTGCTGTGTCGTTGGTCGAGTAGTAGATCAAACACCTTCTCGCATTTTTCACTTTGTCTGTCACAAAGAAATATTATAGCAAAATGAGTTATGTCCTGTTTGCAAATCCTGGCTGGTGTGCAATCTTAATGGCAACCTGGTTGTCTCATTGTAGGGTAAACAAGGAATTTGTCGTTAGCTTCGCTTCTTCGAGTAACTCCTGAAGGTATGGTCCTTCTCGTTTGGCTGTACAGCGATGATAAACTCAGCTTCAGCAGATGAGATCCCTCGCCGACATCCTCATAATTACATCTACTTCATCATTGTCAGTAGCGAATGCATGCAAGTCTTGAAAAAGGGGAGCGGGATGAGCCGGAGCAGCTTTATGTGTCATGAAAACAGGTAACATTAGTTTTTGATAAATTAAACAATCCCGAGCAGGAACAATTTTTGAAGTGGTAAGATCCATGATATTTCCACCTGTAGAACTTCTTCTCCAACCCCAGATGAATACCTCATTTGGCTCGTTTGGAAAACTTGCCGAGTGTCGCAGACGGTTGTAATGAGGCGTAAACAGCGACTGTTGAATATCAATAGTAGCAAGGAAAACAATACAATGAGGCAAGATCAAAACAACTGGGAGCTAGAATATTGCTAGGCCTGGACCATACGGTCGAGGCTCATTAGAGTTGAAAATCGACAGAGAGTGCGCATGTTCATACATGAACATGTAAAGCAAACAAAAAGTATGCAGCTCGTCAAAGGGCCACATTTGGGTGCCGCGGTTTGAATTTCGTGGAAGAGCTGCACGGCAACCCCATTGTGGCAATGCTCTATTTACGAGCTAAAACTCGGGACAAGGGATCTTAATTTCCTTACACTCTCCCCTCTTCTAGGTATGGTCTTAGGTAAGACCGCCGACGTCACACACATTTCGGGACTGGAGGTAGATACGTAAAACCTGGTAATTCTCGATTTGTGCCAAGGGCACCCAATTTTTCTCCAAGGACGTCCATTCCTTCTACGAGGAACTCGATCAGGCGAGCGTCTCTGGGTTCTTAGGTCCGATGGCTGAGAATCTTCGCAGGTTTGACTGTTGGTTAGGCACGCGTTTGGATGATCAGGTCAAACCTGTGAAGTGACAGTCGACCTGTGTTGGCGATGTAAGGTCAGAGTAGTCGCACTTGAAATGATGGGCTTATGTTGCAGGTGGCACGTAACAGTAGACGGGTCGTGACTGATGTGATCATGTGGCTGGTGGTAGATGGCCCACTGTAACGGGGGCAAGAGTTTTGAAACTATGGGTAGTCGAATGTTTTGTGTGTCGAGCATTACTAAATCTCCTGCTTGGTAAGTTACGGCTCATTGGTGAAGATATGGTTTGCGCTTAAAGGCTGCTTTTGCGTTCTTAATGGCTTCGGCTGCTCACTCATGGGTCCTCTAGAAATTTTGCAAACGTTTGGGCTCGTGGCACGGGATTGTCAGGATTTGGTGTGATCGGTGCACATATCTCGTATTCGGTTTGAGCTCGTTCAGCTCGTAGACGTGTCAGCTCCTGCTGAAAAAAGTTATCGATGAGATGCTCCTTATCAAGTGCTGCCTTGCTTTAGCAATACTTAGTGTCGATTACGAAGGGTCCACCATGGCACCTTTTTTTTTCCGCCGTCGGCGCACTAGCACTGCGAACTCAGTCGTGCAGGTATTGGTTTATAAAAATACCAGAGCAGCAAATATGCAGTACGTGTAGGGCGTCAGACTCCCTAAACAATGGTATTTCAGCAGAATAGAACTCTAGGCTGAGGATCGCTGGCTCTGATGGCCATGTGTAATGAGGCACAATTAGTGAGTATCGAATATCGATATCAGCGAGGGAAACAATACAGTGATGCAACATCAAAACAACCAAGAGCTCGAATATAGCTAGGCCTAGAGCACACTGTCGAGGCTTGGCAGAGCTGAGACGTGTGGCTGCAAATTGGCACGGAGCGTGCATGTTCAGGCATGATACTGTAAAGCGAAAGAAATACATGGGGCTCGTTAGAGGGCCACATTTGGGTGTCGCGATTTGAATTTCGTGGCAGAGCTGCGCGGCGACCCCATTATTGCAGTGTGCGCTTTACTAGCTAAGACCTGGGATAAGGAAATACCATTTCCTGTCAATGGTATTCTACAATATACCCCAAAACTCGTAAAGGTTATGTGTTGTCCATCGATCTTTTCCACCGCAGGTTTGGCAAGTAAAACTTCCGAAGAGACAAGAATGACATAAGGTTGTGTAACAGTATAGCATGGTCCACCGCATATGGTTAGAAGCTCGGCAGTAAGGCTACCTGCGTCAGCAACGATCACAGCTTCTCCTGTAGGGTCTTGTTCATCCTTTTTGCTACCCCCATCTGTTGGTGTGCGTGAGAAAGGGAGCTCTTGTGAATGATGCCGAGGATTGTGAGATGCTCTTCGAGCCGATCGCTGGTATGATCTCTTGCTCCATTACTTTGAAAATTTTGCACGTTCTCCCTCGATCCCCATTCAACGACAGCGAGCCTGGTGATAAATATGGAGTGGGTCTTATGGCAAGCCGGTATCTTGGCAGTCCAGACGTAGCGTGTCAAGGCTTTGATGATGCGTAGAACTTTATTTTATTTTATTTTTTTAGGTTCTCTTTTGGTCGTATTCATTATGTCATTGTAGGCTTTTTGCATTAGTTGGTATTTGGTAATGTAGGTCCAAGAAAGATCCGAGAAAAGGATCACGAATAAGGTTATCAATGGGACATGTGGTGCAGATAGCTGGACAGTTGACAAGCTTCAATTCTTCGTCGTTGGATAAGAGTAAATTGTTCTTGTCCAGTACGGATGCCATATATCTTGTGTTGCTTTGTGGCCCTGTTGAACGCAGATAGTTGTTGGAATAAGACTAAAAAGAAGGAATAAGAAATGGAGAGACTGTGGGAGATTGGTCAAGAACCCTAGGAGCAAATCAGGTAAGTATTATGTCAGGCTCCAAACGAACTTCCACCTCCTCCTCTGATTTTTTTTTTCGATTGTGTTTGCAGGGATGAGAAAGCATATTTTTGCTTCGTGGCTATGCCGTGGCTCTGCTGCATCGACTTCGCTGCTACCTGGTTCACTGCTGCTAGGACCCCCCAGGAGTAAAACGGGTACATGGAAGGCTTACTATCGTAACATATGCTTCGAGAATGACGCCGGGTTCCAACCAAACTTCCCCCTCCTCCTCTGATCCTTCTTCGATTGTGTTCGCAGGGGGTCCGATGAGAAAACATGTTTTTACTTTGTGGCTACAGTGCTACTCTGCTTCATCGGCTTCACTGCTACCTACTTCACTGCTGCTGGGACCCCAAGTCCAAGATGAAGAATGATTGAATCTCACATTGGCAAGTGATTTCAGCCCCAATTCTTCAACCAATAGTGATTTCAGTATCCAGAAATTCGAGAAGAATTTGCGCAATATATTTTGCCTTGATATTTTGCCCATTTGCGAATGTGACAGAAATGGATCTACGACGTCGGTAACGATTGATGATGAAGCATGTCTCGAAGGAGCACATATGCGGCCCGCAACAATTGTCAAGATACCAAGTGTTAGGTTCATAGATAATGCTTTGTTAAGAGCGATAGCTTCGTCCATTTAGTCGTCGGAGAATGAGTCACTACAATTTGGTGCGTGAACTGTTATAACACAACTAATAAGGCCTTTGGCCATTGCAAGATCTAGCTTCGTTGAAGACTGTTGCACTGGGAGAGTTGTTGAATGTGCTTTCGGCTGCTTCTCTTGAAACTTATTGTAAGCGTTGTAGAAGCGTTGGCTATGACCATCTCTTTTACAATAGTGACAGAAGTATTTGTTGGGTTGTTTAATGGCTGGAGTTGAATAAAAGCTGGCTTGAATCTGTTTTTTGTTGCATGAATTTTGCAGGTCACGATCTATGTTGTTTGGCGAGAAGTATTGCACAGAGCTCAGCTTCGGGAACATGCGGTTGCAAATGAATAACATAACGGCACAGCCCCCATTCTATGCCAAGTCCATCAAGAAAGCCCGTGATGAGCATCTGTCAAGAGACCCACTAGGGGTTGGCCTAGAGGTCCTCGGGGAAGCGCTACACGCCTCTATGCCTGGGGGGTTATGGGGCGCTATCTCGCTACTAAACAAGCCCTTTTAGCACAGTGGTTAGCGACTGTGTTTCTGACATGGTACCAGAGCCAAAGGTCTCGGGTTCGAATCCTAGAAGGCACCGGTAAAGGTGCCGAGTCCTCCGACTACTCCAGCGAAGGGGAGTGTCGAAAGACCCACTAGGGTTGCCCTAGAGATCCTCAAGGAAGGGCTACAGGTCAATATGCCTGGGGGTTATGGGTGCGCTATCCCGCTACTTAACAAGCCCTTTTAGCACAGTGGCTTGGAGCATTCTCTCCTGCCTGCATTTGAATATGTGTCAGCTGAGTTAGAATCTTACTCCGTGATATAGAATCTTGTGCCATATACTACCCTTTCAGGTAATCCCCAACGAGTTGAGCTGGTGCTAGGCTGTTATGGAAAGATCGAACACCAGGCTGTTCAGTTCTTGAAAGGTCATATCATTATTGTGTAAGCCCAAAGAGACTCATGAAGAAAATGTTGTTAGTGCTGTAGTGTTCCTTGCAGTGGATCCGTGAAGGTTTCGTCGAAGAATGGCCAAAGGCCAGCGGCTTTTACGAGGAGTTCAATTTCGAAGCTCCAAGAATAGAGGTCTACTCAATTAAACAATGAGTGTCTTGTTTTTTTTTTGCACTTAAGAGAATAGGAGTTTGGTTAACGACTACAGTTCTTATTGGTTGGTAATGGATTGGAGATCCAAGCGGTTTAGTATGTCTCTGATTGACTGTTTGCTGTGGCACGTGCTAGTGTGTATGTGACTGTTGTTGCTGTCACTGTTGTTGCGCTTATTGTTGTTGAAACTGTTGATACTAAAGAAGTTGTTGCTTGTGGTGCAACTGAAACTGTGCAGGTGTAAACGAGAACAAAGAGCTGGTATTTGGTGCTATTTTCTGCTCTTGCATTGCAAGAGCCATCACGACTCATAACGCAAAATGCTGCGATAACGGATTGAGCTAAAGTAACTGGTGGATCGGAAGGGCTTGTTCCTAGGTTGTTATTGCGGCATTCCAATTGAGGCGTGCTGAGGAGGTAAGCCATCAGTAGCAGAACGGTCCCCCACTTGATCGGTCAAGGTGTTGTTAGTGATGCTAGTAGGATGAAAGGTGGCTCCACGGTGGTGGTCCATGGCGTGATTCCAGATAGCTCTCATGCCGTGATTTAATATGCAGGTTGTTGTAGTGGACGTGCAAAGACTTCAAGTAGTTAAGACAAAGTTCTAGAGTTGAAGATGCCAACAGTAGTACTTCCGCAGAGTAGCTGTTGTCTTGCACTTGAGTCCCATAAACATCTTTGCTGCAATAATCGACTCTTTCTGACAGCGGAAGTCTGAATGAACGTGTAGAGAAGAGTTGTTGAATATCAAGTTGTAGACTAATAGAGACAAGAATGTATAGGCTAGCTAGTTCTAGCAGAATATATATGTTCGATAAGGTAAGAGGTATGTGACATATTCGTCACTGTAGAGGTAGCGCGACAGTTCGCTTGACAGAAACGGCTGATTCCTGACGAGCGCCTTTTGTTAACGTCATCTACGGAAGATTCCTGATGAGAGTTCATCTTGCGTACTGTACTACTTCCGGGAATGTTAAGTAAGAATTATGTCACAACAAGAATAAGCACTTATCCTGTCATTGTATGATCCTTGTCTAGTATATAAGTCTTGCACTCAGGGGTCTGTAAGTCTTCCCTGACTTCAACTCTCCTAGTTCCACATAAATCAGGTCACAGGTAAATCCCTATCGCGGGCATAGTACTTGTTACGATAAGGAATTGCTTTCATTCCTGAAACCCTTGTTGAGCCTGCTAAGTGCATCTTAGTTAGACCCTTTGCATTCTCTTGTATCACTATATGAACCATGTATCTCTTTGATATAATCAACACTGTTAAGTTACATTTACTCTGACAGGGTTCATCGGCCTATCAATCGCTTTCGCAAAGCGCACTCCTCCGGTTTAATCCTGAAGTTCCCACGGACTATATTGAATCGCTTCATGGTAATCAGAGCTTATCAGGACTCTACACACGACACTCTTGATCTGTTCTTCTTCAAATATCGTGGCGCCAGTGACTCGCTCCCGCCACAGAATGGCCCCAGACCCGAGATCACGAAGGTAAGGAAGCCCTTCTCCCGAAGCACCTGCAAACACTCCAAATCCGGTGGCAACAACATCCGTCCCCACACGACTCCTCGAAAAATTGCTCTAATGAATGACAACTCCTGAAGATGGACTTAAATCACTCAAGATCGACGGCTCGAGCACCGCTCGCCAAACCACGAGTTGTGAACACGCAAGGTTCCCAATAGTTTCGTCGTGGCGTAGAGTGTCACAAGAGGGTTCAAGAGGGGCATCGTCCACGTCGTCATCATCGTCGAAGTGAGGATTCTCCCCCGGGTGTTCGTCGAGTGGGTCCAGATCCACACAGGCAGCGGTGGCTTCGTCTTCTGGAAGGGCGAAGTTGTGTTCTCCTTGTGCGTAAGTTGTTTCCCGATTGGCAAATAGATCGTCTTGGAACTGCTTCAGAGTGAGTTCTTCCTAGAAGAGGATGGTGTTGTGTGATGTCATCATATGCTTTCACATTCTTTCTGCCTCCCATCCCTTGTTTCAATTCGCATGTATGGTTTGACTGTGTGTGAAAGAATTTGTGTGTTGTGTATTCTGGAGTTTGGGAAATCTTTCTGTGTAATTTTTGTTTGAGCAGGTATTTGTGATGATAGATCTTGAGAAGATCTTTCCGACGCAACAAGAATCGCTTCAATCGGAGCAAGAACGTGAAAGCTATGAAGATTCAAAGTTCATGAGCTTGCGTTACAATTGCGGCGGTTACAAAGTGAAGTTGTGGGGTGACTCTATATGGAGTTGGGACCATTAAGGGTTGAGGAAATTCGTCACTCTATTGTAGCAGCTGCAAATTGGTTGGGAACAACTAAACTAGGTTGGCAAGGGTGGCCAACTTGGATGGATTGGTTGGGAAGGGACAAATGTCAAATTTGGGGTTCCTATAGGGAGGGAATCTTTGTGCTTATGGGGTTTCCTTGGTTGGGGACTCTCTTGGGACCTTCCCTCTCATCCCTCTCTTCCCTTCCAACCTTTCTCTTGCTCCTCTAATTCCTTGTGAGATTCTTGAATCTTGATTGAAATTTTGAGATTGAGTTAAGTTCTTCTCCAACAGTATACCCCCCTGTACGTTGAAAGACATAGCGTCACGAATACTCCATCAATCAACGTGATTCAAATTGGAAATGGTAGCTGCAAGTAATAGCTACCATATATCGAGTTTCGAGACATTCGAACGGTTATTTTTTTTGTCGACGACGTTTCTTCTAGAGACGACTTTTCTGTCCAGAATTTCGGATTTATATTTTGAGACATTCTAGCTCCTAATTTCACCTAGACTCCGTCCTTACTTTTAACAAGTGGTATCAGAGCGATATCGAGGACATTGAGAGGAGTCTACAGAAGTGTAAAGACCCTTCTGGACCCACCATGGCCTGTGGGTGTGCCTAAGTGGTGTTCTAAAGGTTGGATGTGACTTCCGCTATGGGGAAACTCTGCCGAAATTTCGTGGACGTCCACACTTGTGAAAATATCGAGGGAGCTGAGTGTGGACAGCAAAGGGGAGCTGAAATTCGTCATTTCTCAAGGAGAAGATGAATGAGAGAGGAGGAGAAGGTAATGGAAGAAGAGCTGTACCTCAGAAGACAAGTGAGCCGCCACCATCCAAAGTTGAAGCTTTGGATGGCTCCAACTATGAGGAATGGAGCGGGCGGATGAGGAGTGCCTTCAAACGCTATAAGCTACTGAAGATTCCTGTTGGGGAGGAGAAGATGCCGGAAGAAGGCGAAGCACGTGAATGGTGGATTGAGAAAAACGCAGTGTTTTTCGACCTCATCCTTCTATCGGTCAACAAGGAGATGTTCGAGCACATCAAGGATCTTCTGAAAGCGGATGATTCGGGTCTGTGAGAGTACGACCTCGTTACACCACTTGGCCTTTTCCATATTTCATCTTCATTTCATTCCTCTTTTTATCTCATCTCCTTTTGCCTCATATTCCCCATTTTCCATTATCCTTTGGTTTCTTCCCTTATTCTAATTATATCACCGACCAAGCATGGAATGTTCTAGACACGCTATCTAGCGTAATCCTGTCGTAATCTCTTACAGCCAATAGCCTCGCGTGGCTATACGCAGGGTGATTCTATCTTCTAGAAGGGTCTATTTCCTTAGGATAAGATAAACCTGGTTACTTGATGTACTCTGGAAGTATAAAAGCGCCTTGTACTGATCGATAGTGCAACCTTTCCTCGACACATTCGATCCTGTGACACTTGGTAATCAGAGCTTTTCTCACTCGGCCGCGCTCAGCTAAGCAGCAGCAGCGGGGATCCTGCCTCGAAAAACCGCCGGGGGCGACCAATTCGACCCCGATTCTGGTAAGCACCAGCTCCGCGATTTTTGAATTACCCCCTCCGTGCGTGTTTTGAACAGGATGGCAACCTTCGACAACGCCGAGGTTACCCAGCAGCTCTTCGCGCGCATCGCAGCCCTTCAGGAGGAAATGCGAGCGGATCGCGAAGCGTGGCGAAACCAGTTCGAGCGAGTAACTCGACTCGCCGGAGCGCAGCACGAGACGACAACGGCGACGACGCAGCAGTCGCAGCAGTTTCTCGAGGCTCCGAAACCGCGCCCACCTGAGCCGTTCGATCCGAGCGATCGAAACTCCGACGCCCGCAGATGGATCGCCGGGATGGAGATCTACTTCGCAGCCGTCGGATGGAGCTCGCCAGTCTGGGACGGTCAACGTGTACGACTCGCGGCGACACTGATGCGAGGGCCGGCACTCGAGTGGATTGGCGGCAACAGCACCTTCATCCACGGTGAAGCCACGTGGCAGCAGTTCCGCGCCGACCTGCTGAAACGCTTCGAACCGATAAATTCGAGTTTCCTTGCCCGGGAAAAAATTCATCGACACCGACAGTTCGGGAGTGTAGCACAGTACACGCAGCAGATGGAAGAATTTTATAACCGCATTCCCGACCTGACCGAAGGGGAAAAAGTGCAATCGTACCTCGCAGGGCTGAAGACCGAAGTCAAACGACAGGTGGCAGCGTCAAACTACGCGAGCTACAGTGACGTCGTATCGGCCGCGGAGCGCTTCGACATGGTCAACGCCGGAACACGACGGACGCACGTCGGCAGTACGCGACAGGGCGACCGCTCGGCTCACCCCACGTTCGCCGACCCGATGGAAGTCGACAGATTCGAGGGGCGGCCACGTCCGAAAAACACCAACTACACGTGTGATTTTTGCGGGGTGCCGGGCCACAAAATCTTCGACTGCAACAAAATGAAGGCCGCACGCGCAGAGTATCGGGCACGCAACAGTGGCGGAAATCCTCCGGCCAATCAAAAGACAAAAAACGGGAGTCGCCAGTGATTGCGGATCTAGCTGGCGAAAATAAAAAGATCCGGAAACGGCCGCGGGATTCCGAGAAAATCAACTTCGACGAAGCTGATTCGACGCGAGCAGGAGGAAATGATGGGGGAAAATCTCCACCCCACGACCAGTCTTCGCCAGGGAAATTCGCCGAGGGAAAATCAGACTCCGCGAAAAAAGACTCTGCCGAGACGGGGAAACTCCTTGAAGACCCAAGAAATTATAAGAATTCGTTAAAGCTATCCTATAAAGATGCTTTAATGAAAACTTATGATTTTCGAGGAGCTAGAGCCTTGGAGAAATTTCGGGAGGGACTCCAAAAGAAGCAGAAAGCTGTGGAGATTATACCGGTACCGGACAACTTGGGGACCAAATTAAGGAGTGTGGAAAGAAGCCGACCTTTCCACGGAGTCAACGTCCTCTCCCGACACCAGCCCACAACGACTACCCGCTCCCCAGGGAAGACGTCGGTGGAGCTGAAGCAGCTCAAGAGGAAGCTGGGGGTCTACAAGAAGCTGCACAAACCCCGAACTCCTTCTACGGATGCATCCAGTTCTTCGGCATCAATGACGCGCACAGTCGTCAAAGAAACTCCGGGCCCTGGAGAAGAGCCGTTCTCCAAGCAGCCTCGGCCAGCTGCCAGCTCAGGAGTAGACAGCAACACAAAGGTGTGTACGGAATATTGGGATGTACCCTATGACCCAATCAATGAAACTATCTTTGGGTACTCCGAGCAACGACTGCCCCTCGTGCTCGAGGTCATCTGCAAAGGACGACGCCTCCAAGCACTCGTGGACAGCGGAGCGTCACACACCGTCTGCGACAAGGCAATGATCGACCGACTCCGGGAAGAGTACAAGCCTTCAGGATTCTCTGCAACGATGGTGGACGGCAGCAAGTTACCAGTACACGGCGAAGCAGTGCTACACCTACAAATTGGACCACTGCGCTGGAGACCTGCACTCCCCATCACCAACATCAAAGGGCTTGACTTGATCTTCGGGCGAGACTTCCTGAAAAAATTCAACCCCGAGATCAACTGGGTGAACCGCACCGCAAACATCTACAACAATGGACGGAGAGTACAGCTACCCAACTGGGACAATACTGGAGATATCCCAGTGGAGACACTCGCACGATTCGAGAAGGATGTGAAGCGGACCGACACCGGGTTCCTGGCGATAGCAACAGAGGTGGAGAATGACGGAGAGAAAGCCTCGGAAACTCCAGAAAAAATCAAGGAATTACTAAAGGAGTTCCAAGACATTCTTCCTGACGATCTTCCGAACGAGCTACCGCCATACCGAACGCATCAACACGAGATCGTGGAGGAACCGGGTTCGAAGCCGACCTTCCGAGCACCATACCGGCTCAGCCCTATGGAGCTGACCGACATGAAGAAGCAGATCGAGTATCTCCTAGCCAAAGGACTCATCCGACCATCCACTTCGCCATACGGTGCCCCAGTACTCTTCACACCGAAACCGGACGGAAGCCTGCGCATGTGCATCGACTACCGAGCTCTTAACAAGCAGACCATCAAGAATAAATATCCGATACCGCGAATCGATGACCTGCTTGACCAGCTTCGGGGAGCTACGGTATTTTCCAAACTGGATCTGCGGTCCGGATACTGGCAGATACGGATGGCGGACAACTCTATCCACAAAACTGCTTTCCGAACTCGGTACGGATCGTACGAGTATTTGGTCATGCCGTTCGGACTCACCAACGCACCGGCAACGTTCCAAGCCGAAATGAACCACATTCTACGACCACTTCTGGACGAATGCGTGGTGGTGTACCTGGACGACATACTCATCTACTCGCGCGACATGAAGCAGCACGTCGAACACCTGCGACGCGTCTTCGAAATTCTTCGACGGGAACGATTCTACGTCAAACTGTCCAAGAGCGAATTCGCCCTGGAGAAGGTCCAATTTCTAGGCCACATGGTGAGCGCTCAAGGAGTTCACGTCGACCCCAAGAAAATCGAAGCCGTACGTACGTGGAAGACACCCGAGAACGTGAAGGAGTTGCAGCAGTTCCTAGGCTTCGCTAATTACTACAACAGGTTCGTGCCACAATATGCGAAACTCGCGGCACCACTCACGAATCTGCTGAAGAAGAACACGCCCTACAAATGGGAGACGAAGCACCAGGAAGCCGTGGAGCAGCTGAAACAAGCACTAACGTCCGCACCGGTGCTCATCTTGCCAGATCCCGAACGCGACTACGTAATCGAAGCTGACGCCAGCGAACAGGCAGTGGGAGCAGTCTTAATGCAAGACCAGGGGAATGGACTGCAACCAATTGCCTACCTCAGCAAGAAACTGCACGGGGCAGAACTCAACTACCCGATACACGACAAAGAGGCTCTTGCTATCATCATCGCCTTCAAAGCGTGGAGATGCTATCTCGAAGGACGAAGAACGACCGTCTACACCGACCACTGCAGCCTGAAATATTTGAAGACACAACCCAACCTTTCCAGGCGGCAGGTCCGGTGGATCGACTTCCTCGAGACACACTTCCACTACGACATCGTGTACAAGCCCGGCCACAAGAACAAAGCAGACGCTCTCAGCCGGCCTGCACACGTTGCCGCGATTCAGGTCGAAGGGATGAATCCACTACTCAAGGGACTCTTCACCCACGGGTACGCCATCGACCCCGAAATTCCCTTGGCAGAAAAGCGACATCTGCTACAATGGGACAGTGACATCGCGTACCGGAAGGGATCCACAAAAATCTGGGTACCCAATTACCCTCCTTTGCGCCAGTTACTACTCGAAGAATACCACGACGTCCTGTACGCCGGACACTTCGGTAGCAACAAGACGCTCACCGGTATCGCCAAACACTACTACTGGCCCCATATGGCAGACGACGTCCAGAAATTCGTCACCTCGTGTGATACATGTCAGCGGATGAAGAGCAGCAAGCAGAAAAAGGCGGGACTACTGCAGCCTCTTCCTGTCCCAGAACAACCATGGCAAGTGGTCAGCCTAGACTTCATCACCGGGTTACCACCTACCTCCAGCGGTCATGACGCCATCCTTGTCGTCATTGACAAGTTCTCCAAAATGGGACACTTCATCCCGACACACATGACGGCACGCACCGAGGAGACAGCACAACTCTTCGTTCGTCACATCATCTCACAGCATGGCATCCCAACTACACTCATCTCCGACCGAGACCCCAAGTTCACTAGCAAGTTCTGGAAGGAACTTATGTCTCTGCTCGGCACCAAACTCGCCATGTCATCCGCATACCATCCGCAGACAGACGGACAGACCGAGCGCCTTAACCAGATTGTTGAGCAACTCCTCCGAGCAGCCTGCAAGGACGAGATCTCCAAATGGGACTTGCACCTACCCGTCCTGGAGTTTGCCTACAACAACGCTACACACGCCGCTACGGGACAGACGCCGTTCTTCCTCTGCTACGGACGCCACCCACTCACACCACAGAAACCGACAACACCAGCAACAGTCCAACCTGCACACGACTTCATCACAACCATGCATCAGCTTTGGGATCGGACCCATAAGCGCCTCCTTGACATTCAACAGCAACAGAAGCGCCAAGCCGATCGCCATCGCAACGACCACACCATTTCCGTGGGAGACCAGGTTCTCCTCGACACCCGCAACCTGGACATCAGCCATCTCCCATCTAAACTTCGACCTCGCTTCTGCGGGCCTTTTCTCGTTGAAGCACAGGTCACTCCTGTTACCTTCCGCTTACGCCTACCAGCTACCTGGAAGATTCACAACGCCTTCCATGTCCAACTTCTGAAGCCCTATCGAGATCCTAATACGATCTTCGTCGGACGCCAACCGCCGCCGCCGCCACCCGTCCTCGTCCAAAATGAACCCGAGTACGAGGTCGAGTCCGTGCTCGCACACCGCCGTCGTCGGAATGGCACCGTGGAGCTTCTTATCCGTTGGAAGGGTTATGATCCTTCTGAGGACAGCTGGGTCTCTGAGTCCGACATGGGTAACGCCCGTCGTCCTCTGCATGACTACCTTGTCAAGCAGGGTGTTACTTCTACCACCCAGCTTTGAGGGGGGGAAGTGTGAGAGTACGACCTCGTTACACCACTTGGCCTTTTCCATATTTCATCTTCATTTCATTCCTCTTTTTATCTCATCTCCTTTTGCCTCATATTCCCCATTTTCCATTATCCTTTGGTTTCTTCCCTTATTCTAATTATATCACCGACCAAGCATGGAATGTTCTAGACACGCTATCTAGCGTAATCCTGTCGTAATCTCTTACAGCCAATAGCCTCGCGTGGCTATACGCAGGGTGATTCTATCTTCTAGAAGGGTCTATTTCCTTAGGATAAGATAAACCTGGTTACTTGATGTACTCTGGAAGTATAAAAGCGCCTTGTACTGATCGATAGTGCAACCTTTCCTCGACACATTCGATCCTGTGACAGGGTCCAAGGGCGTGGAAAATACTATGCGATTTCAGCCCAACACTCTCCCGATGGTGATCGTGCTCGAGAAGGAACTTGTTGCCATCTCCATGCGACAAGGGGACGATGTGAAGCCGGTCCTTGACAAGATCAAGGACACCTATGCAAGAATGGCAGCAGCGGGCAGCAGTGTATCTCAGCTGCAGCAGTGCACCAAGATCATTTCGGTGTTGGACAACTCTTGGGACAACCTCATCCCCACCCTCAACTCTCAGCAAGATCAATGGACACCTGAGTGGCTAAGGCAGTAGATTCTGCAGTAGGATTTCCGCAGATGCCATGTGGGAGGTGGTGCTTCTACTAAGAATGCTGAGGGGTATGGAGCTGCAGGGCGCGACAGAGAAAGAGGGGGTTGGAGAGGCCGAGGCCGTGGGAGGAGCAATGGCAGAGGTAGAGGCCGAGGTGACTATAATGAGGGGCATGGGAGCTCTGGTGGCAGGGGGAGTTCCAGAATGGAGGGCACCTGCTGGTACTGCAAGAAGGTCGGGCATCCTTGGTTCAAGTGCTTCAGCAAGCCGGAGGGATGGGCACCTCCAGGCATGAAGCTGCCCAATGGTGAACGTGCACAAGGTGGCGCTGTGCAAGGCTCAGGTGCAGAAGATGAAGGTGCACAAGGTAATGCCTATCCTAGGATGTTTCTTATGGTTGAGGATGTGCATGGGCATGAGGGTGATGTGGGATCTGTGGGAAAGGTTTTGATGCACCCTCTCACGCATTGGGTGATTGATTCAGGTTGCACCAGTCACGTGACCCCACGGGCAGATTTGCTTGATGAGGTAAAACCCCCTGGGAAGATTAAGTATGTGGCTGCAGCGTCAGGTGCTTTGCTCCCTGTGATTGGTGTTGGGAATGCCAAGGTTAAGGGAGCTAATGGGGAGCTTGTGGGGCTTGGGAATGTTCTGCTGGTTTAAGGTTTGTCTGCTCACCTCCTCTCTGTGCGGCGACTGCATAAGAGCAAAGCCGAAGTGACCTTTGGACCAACCAGCTGCCGTGCTAAGCTTGGGAAGAAGGTGCTGTGAAGTCTAGAAGAGGAGACCAGCTGCATCAAGGACCTGTGGCAGCTGTCCATCATCCCTTGGAATGGGAAGACTCCAACAGCAGCAACGGCAGCAGCGGCAAAGGCAACAGTAGGAGGAGATGTAACTGCACCAACTGATGGGGTCCTGGAAGCAGTAGAGAAAGTGCAGCAGCAGCAGCAAACACATGGCAAGGTGCTTGCTGGTGTGGATACGAGCGCGGCATGGGCTAAAGCTTCATCAAGGAGTGGTGAGGTCGATTGGGAGACATGGCATGAGAGGTTGTGTCATGTGAACTTGCCTATACTGCAGAAGTTGGTGAAGGATGGGAGCCTGAAAGGATTGGAGGTCAAGGGGGGAGTGAAGGAGATTGGGAGCTGCCCTACATGCTTGGAGACCAAGTTCTCCAATTTCCCCTTCAACAGCACTAAAGGACCAGCCAAGTCCCCACTTGCACTTGTGCACATGGATGTGGTGGGGCCCACAAGAGCCCCTTCCCTCTCAGGCAACCGCTATTTCTTGACAATTGTGGATGACCATACTCGAGCAGTGTGGGTTTACCCTTTGAAGAGCAAAGAAGAGGTGGCAGCGGCTGTCTTTGAGGTGTGGATGCCTAGAGCTCAAAGGGAATGTGGACACAAGGTGAAGGTGATCCGCAGTGACAATGGTGGGGAGTTCATTGGAGCTGATTTTGAGGGGGAGCTGAAGAGGAAGGGGATCCAGCATCAACTGACAGTGCCCTACAACCCGCAGCAGAATGGCATGGCTGAGAGGTTCAACAAGACCCTGCATGAGGGGGCACGCACTCTCCTTGGGCGTGCAGGGCTGCCTGATCCGTTTTGGGTGTCTGCACTGAGGCAGGTCGCCCTTGTGAAGAACATGGTGCTGGCTACAGTTGGGGATAAGGAGTGGATCCCATATACCAAGTGGTGAACATGCTGCATATACCATATACAGCTGTGAACATGCTGAGGGCATTTGGGTGCATGGTGGTGTTTCATATGCCTAAGGAGAAAAGGGGAAAGTTGGAGGCTTCTGGAAGATGGGGTGTGCACTTGGGGATTGCTAAGGATCCCAAGGGGTGGCTGCTGTGGGACTTGACCACCCAAAAGCTGACAGTGTCAAGGGATGGGAATTTTCTTGAGTCTCTGTACTACTAGGAATGGAAGCAGCAGCATCAGAAGCTTCCATCTACACCTCTCATTGTCGAGGCAGATGAGGTGCAGCGGCCTTCAAGACAGGTGGAGGTTGCAGTGTCTGAGGAGGAGATGTCTGGGGTGACTGAGGAAGGGGGAGCAGCTGAGATGGAGCAGTAGCAGCAGCAGCAGCATGAGTCTCCACATCAAGTTCCGCACCCGCCTGAGCGTCCTAGGAGGGATGCGCGCCCTCCTTTGAGGCTGACCTATGGGGGAAGAGGCAATCCGAATGTGGTGCAAGCTGTGAATGTGGTTGAGCAGATTGAGGAAGATGAGATCGCTCAATGCTACTGGGCACCAATCCCCGAGCCCAAGACTCGAGAAGAGGCCTTGAATGGACCAAATGGGGAGAAGTGGAAGGCGAGTGAGGATGAGGAGTTCGGGTCCCTGATTGAGAACGATACATGGAACCTATGTGACTTGCCTCCTGGGAAGAAGGCAATCACTTCCAAGATGATCTACAAGCACAAGTATGGACCTGAAGGGGAGCTGACCCACTACAAGTCTAGGCTTTTGGCAAGGGGGTTTCAGCAGACAAAGGGGAAGGACTATGATGAGGTGTTTGCTCCTGTGGGGAAAGGAACAACACTGAGGGTGCTATTAGCGATAGCTGCATTCCTGGGATGGAAGATTCGGCAGATGGGCATTGTGACTGCCTTTCTGAATGGGATCATTCTGGAGGAGGTGTACATGAAGCAGCCAGAGGGGCTGGATGGTGGGAGCAGTAGGGTCTGCAGGCTGAAGAAGGCCATCTATGGCCTTAAGCAGGCGCCTCGTGTATGGTATCACAAGTTGGAGGAGGCGCTGTTGGCTGGGGGTTTTAAGAAGAGTGAGTGTGACCCTAGTCTGTTCCTGCTGCAGGAGAAGGATGAAATCCTCATGCTCTTGGTGTATGTGGATGATATCCTTCTCTTTTCTGCATCAACTGCTTTGCTGGACAGCACAGAGCAGATGCTGGAGATGCAGTTCAAGATGGGTGAGGTGAAGTACTACATGGGGATGCATGTGGAGAGAGATGTGGAGAAGGGTGTGCTGAGGTTGCACCAGAGGAAGTACTGTGAGGGGCTGGCTGAGAAGTATGGGCTGCAAGATGGGGGAAAGCCAGCAACACCACTACCTTCGGGGTTTACTGTGGAGCCATGTGCTGATGAGGAGGTAGCGGGTGAAAGTGACATGAAGCTGTTTCATTCGATGGTTGGGTCGCTAAACTATGCTGCAAATCATACACGGCCTGACATTGTATTTGCTACATCACGGTTGGCTAGTGTGGTCTCACGCCCTAGTCATGAGCAGCTGGAAGGAGCCTAGAGGTTGGTCCGCTATGTGAGTGCTACAGCATCAGTGGGATTGGAGTATAGTGCTGAGAGACAGAGGCTGCAAAGAGGTGCAACAGATGTGAAGAGTAGAGAAGTGCTTTTGAGCTGCTATACTGATGCGAGCTTCAACTTTGTGAAAGTGGATGGCACCAGCATTGGGGGTTATGTGTGCTTGCTGGGAGGTGGTGCTGTGAGCTGGCGCAGCAAGAAGCAGAATGAGGTGGGATTGTCCTCATGTGAGACTGAGTACATGGCCTTACACCATGGGGCCAAGGAAGTGGTGTGGCTAAGGTGCTTGTTGGAGGAGTTGGGAGTTGGTCAGGAGGAGCCGACAGTTGTGTTCTGTGACAATGAGTCTGCAGTGAAGCTGGCCAAGAATGCTTGTCTGCATGGGCTGACAAAACACATAAGGCCTAAGTGGCACTGGGTGAGGAGACTCCTTGATAAGGAGGTGCGGCTGGAGATAGTGAAGACCCATCAGCAGCAGCAGATATTTTCACTAAGCGTCTGGTGGAGGCGGATCATTGGAAGGGCTTGAAGCTTGCTGGGATGAGTGTGCATTGAGCATGCATGCTTGAGATGTGGTATGGTGGATGATGTTTGGCAGCCAGAGGGGGAGACTGTTGTGTGATGTCATCATATGCTATCACATTCTGTCTGCCTCCCATCCCTTGTTTCAATTCCCATGTATGGTTTGACAGTGTGTGAAAGAATTTGTATGTGGTGTGTTCTGGAGTTTGGGAATGTGTTCTGTGTTATTTTTGTTTGAGCAGTATTTGTGATGATAGATCTTGAGAAGATCTTTCCGACGCAACAAGAATCGTTCCAATCGGAGCAAGAACGCGAAAGCTATGAAGATTCAAAGTTCATGAGCTTGTGTTACAATTGCGACGGTTACAAAGTGAAGTTGTGGGGTGACTCTATATGGAGTTGGGACCATTAAGGGTTGGGACACTTCGTCACTCTACTGTAGCAGCTGCAAATTGGTTGGGAACAACTAAACTAGATTGGCAAGGGTGGCCAACTTGGATGGATTGGTTGGGTAGGGACAAATGTCAAATTTGGGGTTCCTATAGGGAGGGAATCTTTGTGCTTATGGGGTTTCCTTGGTTGGGGACTCTCTTGGGACCTTCCCTCTCATCCCTCTCTTCCCTTCCAACCTTTCTCTTGCTCCTCTAATTCCTTATGAGATTCTTGAATCTTGATTGAAGTTTGAGAATGAGTTAAGTTCTTCTCCTATAGCATACCCCCCTGTGCATTTATATTTTGGATTTATATTTTGAGACATTCTAGCTCCTAAGTTCACCTAGACTCCGTCCTTAATTCTAACAGTTGTCTCTGGAAGGTACGATGTTGGAGTTTTCCAGGTCCAGGATCGTCCATACTTGGTGTTCGTGGGAGATGCCGAGGTGCACGCCCCTGCGGGCTCGCCTTCCGAACTTGTCGGTGTTAGCCTGATGAGGTCGATACTGGACCATGCAGCCCCATACTCGAAGCATGGTGGTGTCGCCTGGCTTTCCTGTCCAAGCCAGGAAGGGAGACAGATTCCCTTCGCTGGTGGTGATGGACAGTAGGTTGTGTAGGCGTACTGCATGGTGCATTGCATAGGGCCAGTAGTCTGTGGGCAGTCTGGGCTGGAGCATCATCGCTCGGACTTTGGTCTGTCGGCGACACCTTGCTGTGGGTGAGTGTAACGGAGGGAGAGTCTGTGCTCGATCCCGAGTTCTTGTAGATGGGTCTGTAGCTCCTCACTCCGGAACTCCCGAGCTCCATCTCTTTGCCAGTACAACAATTTCTTTCCTAAATGGCGCTCAGCAAGAGCGAGCCAAGTTCTAAAGGTCTTGAGTACTCCCCCTCTATTCTGGACGTTGACTGCCCAGACATAGCAGGTGGCAGCGTCGATGAAGGTCAACGTGTACTGCTCCCCATGGAGTCCTACTTGTGTGAGGACTAGGTAGTCGCTGTAGACTTTGAAAAGCGGTGTATAGCGAGTTGGGCAGCGTGGAAGATCTGGGAATGGGTTGTGCGTAAGAGCTGCTTCAGCACAGACTGTGCAGGAGCGAGGGGCTTGGCTGATTTGGATTTAACGTCCATCAAGGTCAATAAGTGCACCAGGGGCGAAGATGTTGGCCCTGAGTGAGTTGTTGAGGGTGATTCTGGAAGGGTGGCGAAGCCGTTCGTGCCAGATGTCCCTGGAGGCGCGATGTCCTCAAGTACGCTGATAGCGTTGGCAGGAAGCATCAGGTGGGGGTGCCGGTTGCGCGTCTAAGAATGCAGGGGCTATAATGGCGAGAGCGAGGAACTCTTGATTGACGAGGTCCACAGCAATCTCTCTGTCTCGAGGAGAGCCGTTTGGTCCAGCTGCGCTCTCGTCTAGCTCTTCCGGGGCATTTGCCGGGCGAGGGAGGCGAGGTGGTGGTGGACCTTCGATGGTTCTGGTCTCTTGGAGATCAGCTTCCGCATTGGCAACTAGGGTCGGTGACAGAGGGTAAGGACTGTGAGGTTAGGGCAATGGAGATCCATGGTAGCGGCGCCAGAGGAGTGGGTTTTCCTTAGGGGGGGTTTCGTCATGCTCGGCCCAAGTTCCAGGGGCTTGAGGAGGGCGACCAAGGTGACGATATGCACCTTGTGTGGTTCTCCCCCTTTTGCCTTTGTCGTCCTCATCGTCTCCTCCGCCGTACCAAACGTCATCATTGAGACGCCAATGTCCTATGGCTTGGTTGCAAACCCAGGGAAACCTCCAGCCTCTACCCCATCCACCAACGGTTGGTGCGTTATTGTCCCAACCAGTGCTTGTTTCTGGTACTAGGCCTCGTCCCCAGGCTCCCTGGCTTGGATTGTTGCCCCGTCCCCTTATCGCTCTTTAGGGCGGTGCACCGATCTCGACTCAGGGTTCAGAGGTCGGTTGTGGGGGTGCTGGTTGTGTTTTCTCTCCCGCTGCTCCCTTTGCTGCTCCCTCGGCTGCTGCTGCTGCTGCCTCGGCTACTGCTTCTGCTGCCTTTGCTTTTGCTGGTGCTACTGCTGCTTCTCGTGCTACTGATGCTATGACCATGGTTGTCTATGCTGCTTCGGCTGCCTCTGGTGACGTTGGTCTGTGCTGGGCAGCAATGGTTCTGAGAGAGCTTGCCCATACATCCATGTCGGATGTGAGTTTTGTAGCCACGTCCGCAGCTTCCCGGGGTGTGGGCTCTCTCCAGTTGGGGTTGAAGACCATGTGAGTGGCCAACTCCCATGGGTTTGCTCGTCCAGTTTTGCCAAAGGAGCCTGGTCCCACGTAGACCAGAACGCTCTCCAAGCGTTGTCTTGAGTCGTGGGAGGGGTCCATGGTTCCTGGGGGAGGAACAATGGTGATGGCTGCGGCAAATTCTGAAGTTGTCATGCCGACCTCTGGAGTGAGTAGGGACTCCATCTCGTCTTCTTCGAGAGTTTCGAGTCATGTTCAAGCTATGTTGCTGGAGGAGGCTTTCGGAGTTCGACAGGTGAGGCAGATGCCGTCTGTTCCAGGGTCATGCAGATCGGTTTCAGATGGGTGCATGTGTTGAGTGACCCACGGGCGGCCATCGGGGTGAGTCCACTCCTTCTCGTTCTTCCATGCGAAGTCGAGGGGAACGAGGTCAATCAGCTTGTGGCTGTCACCATTGTTGGGGATGCCGATGTCTAGTATTAGACTCCGTCGACCACTACTGCCTTGCCGATAAACTGAGGTGGGTTCTCGGGTTTGTTGGGTTGACAAGGCTTCTGATAGTGCAGCAGAAGGTGGCGTGTCTGGAGGTCGGTGCTGATTTTGATGCCGCAGGGCATCAGCTGAGCTGTTGAGAGTAAGTTGTAGCGGAGATTCTGAACGATAAGCACGTCGTTCAGAGTGATGTGGGTCAGGGTGTTGCGGGCCTGTAGTACGACGATCCCTTGGTGCTTGGCCACCAATCGCTCATTGTTGGCGACCGTAACGTACTGTAGGCTGCAGCGGGGGTTGGGACGGCATTGGAGATGAAGCGCACAGATCCGACCATGTGCTGTTCGCAGCAACTGTCCAGGTACCAGGTATTGTAGATGTCGCGATTGTTGCGGGCGACCATTGCGATCCTCGGAGTCAGCAGGTAAGGACGATTTGAGTCGTGCATGAGGTGGTCCTTTTGGAAGTCATCCCAATACTGCCTGTTGCCTCCAAATGACATGTCGGTGATGTAGGATGTAGGCTCTAGCAGAGGAATGGGAAGATTCCATCTTGCTCCTCCTCGTCGCCATCGTAGCTGTCGTGTTCGTCGTAGGGATTGTTGTAGTCGTAGGCTCTTACAGCCAGGGCGAAGTTATCTTGACTTGGGCGTAGTGGCGGCACGCGATGGCGTCGATTCGCTCGACGTATAGGACCATGTTTTCTCATCGCCATGAAGTGTTGCCGGTGGGTTGGTTGACCATGCATGCCTGGCTGAGTCGGACGAGGTTCGGAAGATGCAGGCGGGTGCAGGACTTGTCGCTGGTCCGTGTGAGATGGGCGACTGGTTTGGCACAGGTCCTGAGGGGAAGGTTCGATGGGTCTCCTCTAATGGGAGTGCCCCCATTGACTTCCACTTGGGTTAGGCATGTAGGATGGCCTTGCACTGCTTCCCGCTCGATTTTGGCAGTGCTTAGTGGAGTGCCCGAAGGATTCGCAGAGTTTGCAAAAGTAGCGGCGACTGCGCGTGTCACGGCGAGGTTCCTTCTGGCCCGAGTAGAAGGCAAGCCTTTCTTTGCACAGGGCTCTCTCATTATAGAAGTCCATGTCTTTCTGCAAAGCCAGTGTCACAGGATCGAATGAGGTTTGCTCAATGTTGTACTATCCATAAGTACAAGGTGCTTTTATACTTCCAAAGTACATCAGGTAACCAAGTTTATCCTATCCAAAGGGAATAAACCCTTCTAGAAATAGAATTACCATGTGTATAGCCACGCGAGGCTATTGGCTTTTAAGGGATTACGGCAGGATTACACTAGATATAGCGTGCCAGTACATCCCGAGCCTGGTCGGTGATATAATAATAATAATATCAGGATAAACCAAAGGATAATGGAAAGGGAGGAAAAGGAAACCAAATGAGATGAGATAAAGACCAAATGAATCAGGATAAAAAGAGGAATGAAATAGAAAGGAAATATGGAAAGGGGAAATTGGTGTAACGGTGTCGTACTCTCACACTTCCCCCCCTCAAAGCTGGGTGGTAGGAGTAACACCCTGCTTGACAAGGTAGTCGAGAAGAGGACGACGAGCGTTACCCATGTCGAATTCAGTGACTTAGCCTCAGAAGGATCATAACCCTTCCAGCAAAGAAGAAGCTCTAGAGTACCATTCTGATTATGACAGTGTCCGAGCACGTTGTTGTCCCATGTCGTGGACGAACAAGGGCGGCGATGGTGGTTGGCATTTGGTCTAGAGCGTGTTTGGTCTTGATACGGTTTAAGATGCTGGTATGGAAGGCGTT